AAATTGAGCAAAAGGTTGAAATGAAAAGAATGGTATAGAGAGAATATACAGGACAGTCCTTAAGAAACGGATAGGTTCTTACTCTTACACTAAAATGAATCGGACAAACAAGTACAATGAGTAAAAACACCACAAAGGACAAAGAAACAGCTCAAAAATTTTAAAACCAAAAAAAACAGCTCAAAAATTCTGTAGTTAAAATATTCGAAATTAATTTCTAAAAGAGGGTAAGTTTCTACGAGACAGCCAAGAACTGATAAGTTAGCTTGGATTGGTTCAATTTAGTAAGAAATACTGTTTTATTGACTGTTCTAGTGTTCAAAGTGGTTCTAAAAATTAGTTTGTCTACATGTGAATTATTACACAACTTGACTTGATTACTAAACGAGTTACAGGCTATTAAGTTTTTTTTTTTGGGGGACTAAATTATGGTTTTTTAATACCTCTTGATGGTTATTATTTTGATGTTTTGCAAGTATTCATTTTTAATATGAAGAGTAGCATTAAACTAAATTATAACATTTTAATTTTGCCATAGATCTTTTGCAAACTACAAACGTCAAAAGCAGTTTGTTTGTGTTTCGAAATTGCATTTACAATTTACAAATAATATTTTATTAAAAAAAATATTCTTTAGAACCAAAACATAATATTCAACGTCAGCACGCATAATCTTATGTATAAACTAATTTTTTTAAAAAGGGAAAATTAGTATATATAACCCCAAAAAATTATATTAATACACAAACTAACTAATTTGTCTCTTTTTCTCTCTCTAATTCTCTCTAATGGTTTAGTTACATTGTAAATTATAATATTATATTTGGTTATTGCTGCAAATGACCCTATAAAAAATCTTAGCCTTGACTACAACGAAAATAAGCAATTGAGCATAATGTCTTTAGCTAATGATGCAATTATGGTTCTGTTTTGAACTCGATCGGATTCAAGCCATATATTAGAATTTAGAGGTGGCGGATACAAGCAATATGATGATAAAGATTACAAGGAGTCATATTTAAGATTAATGCAGAGGATAATGATAATTATAATGTTTTTCTTGAAAGGAAATCGAGAAGTAACTAGTAAAAGCGAAAGGGAACATGAGGGTCTAGATTAGGGTTTGTGAGTGTGACTTACAGTTGGGTTTGTGTTGTTTTGTTGGGAGTTTGTGATTTTATTCTTTAGGACACTCGAATTTACGTGGGACACCATGGTTTGTCTACATTTGCATATCAACATCTATCACCATAATATTACTCAAATCTCTCTCAACTTTCTTTCACATCTCCATCTAATTCCAACATTCATAAACCTCATCACAATCCCTAATTAGTTAAAAGCACTTTTTAAGATGATCAATATATCTTGAACTCCAAGATTAATGTGTGCTAGTATAATTAAAGCTTTGAATTGTTTAAAAGTATTGCAACATTTTTAGAAAAGAAAAGTATTAGAAGTTTAGGAGTACTCAACTTAGGTAATTTGTAAGACTTGAACCTGAGAGATTCTCTAGTTTACTATTGGTTGCAACAGTTCACCAAGCTGAAACTTGCTCTTTTAAGATGAGCCTGATCGACTTAATTTCGATCTAAGTAGTCTCATTATACACATTAAGGTTGAATAAAATTATATGTTGTGTTCATTAAAAAAAAATTATATGTTGTGAATCGTAGTATTATGAGAAAGGGGAAAACAAATGGTCGATGTTTCATTTGGCCGACAAAATTTTAAAAAATTGTTGACGTTTTTCAAATGTTTTAAATAAGTGAAAAATTGGTGAATATGTAAAAGGAGATGACACATAATGACAATGACAGTAGGATAAGGCCCAAGTTACTAGAGTCACTTTTGCAGAACTGTGGAATCTCCCAACACCAAAAAACCTTTAAAGTTACTTATTTATCTAATTAATAGAAAACGTTTTCGTGATTACATTTCGTGTAGATCCAACCTTAAGTAATGCTATGCTGAATTACTCCGACGAACCATTTCTAACATATCAAATTCACTGATAATTTCGAAGTTCAAAAATGAAGATTTGAAAATTATGTACGAATAGAATACAATTAGGTATCTAAAAAAGCATTGGTTGATATAGTGGGGGAAAATTGGACCAAAGATTCTGTACAGAGATCCGTTGGTGATTCTGGTTTTGGAGTTTAGTATCCTCTGGTTCCGAGCTAAACCCAAAAGGGCCAACAATAAACAAACATTTTTTAAATGTCAAAAGTTGTAAGGCAGCTATGTAATGTTACAAAAGCCTCTCTCAAGTACAATTGGCATTTTATATTTAGAGTTTTTTTTTTATATTTGAGAATATATTTAGGGTTTGTTATGATTGTACTTCTGGATCTGACTCTCTTTGGCATATTTCTATTTCAAGTTTTCAAAAATGAAATAGAATCATTCACTTCACTATTATTAAGACCATCTATTCTATCTTTTTGTTTTTAGTTTAGTTCATTCAAAATTGATGAAAATGATTATCTTCTCCATTGGCGTAATTTCATTTGGGTAGTACAAGAAAATAATTTATTATTACAATTTGTTGTGTTTGAGAGATTTGTCAGAATTCACCTGAAGAGGTAAAAAACAATAATAAAAAGAGATGACGTATTATACAAGCAAACTCTGTCTTCTTATTACATTATCACTTCGAGGCCACACCCCACTCTCTGCCACATTCATCCCCCAAAGTTACTACTACCAAACAAAATATAACAATTTCAAAAGACATAAGTTAAAATAATAATAATTGAGAGTTGTGTGAAACAGAAGCTATAAATTTTTTAAATTAAATGCAACAAAACAGAAGAAGATTTCATCCAGAACTTTGTCTTAATTAGCAATCACATCAAATTAACTGTTGGTTTTTTCTTCTTCTTAATGTATGTGGTTCTACCTGAATTTTCATTGTAACCTAAAAATTCCATATTGTTATTTCTTCATATATATATCATCATGGTCTAACTATGAACAAATCCACAGCTTGGCTTATCAAAAAGATAAAGAAAAAACAAAGCAACAGCTTGACTTTGTAAACACCCAAATTCGAATCTCTTTTTGTGAGATTTGATTGTCCCTTTGTTAAAGATTTGATAACTTTAATTAGCAGGTTCTTTTAACAATAGCTTGAGATCGATATCTTATAAAGTGAAATGAAAATGCGACTAATAAAACAGCAATTACAATTGGGTCAATTTGGTGAATAACTAAAAAAAAAATCTATACTATATAAAAGTTGAGGCTATAAGTTTTTGAGAACGTCCACATAGGATTTAAATCAACCAATAGTGTTATACCACGTTAAATATTTAGAATTATGTTAATTTTGTTTTTGTTGATAATAATTGAAAAATAAGACATGATTTCCTTATATCATTAACTCATAATTTCAAATAGTTTTCAAATTTTTGTGGATTTAATTTGCTATTTCAACTTTAGATTAGAAAATTTCTTTAATTTAAAAGTTTAAAATATTAAACAAAAATGTTATTATTCCAAATTTACAAAAAGTATAGATATTATGTTATTTCATTTTCTTGAAACATACGTTTATAGTTTATTAAAGACATTTATGAAAATATACAAAAAGTTAGGTCCCTAATATTAAACAGACGTCAAATTTAGAGATAATTAGCAAAACAACCCTTGAACTAACCAACCTTTGTAAAGCAAACCTCAATCTTTCTATTACGTTCTTTTTAAATTAATTGATGACTTGCTATGTAATTTTAGTAGGTTTAGAGTTATTTTGAAAAACGTTAGTTAGTTGGAGGATTATTTTGAAAATCCTTCCATCTTTTTTCTTAATACTGTCTGTAAAGTCTTTTTCTTTGTCTGAACTCCAAAATCCCTAAAAAAAAATTTTTCTATTCGTCTTCTTCTTCGTCGTCTCGCCATGAAACTTGCCAGGTAAGCTTTTTTTCTTCTGATTCTTTCGTTCTCCATTTCAATTGTTTCTCTAGATTTTAGGAAAATTTTTTCATTCTGGAAACATCCAACGTCCGATTATTTCTAATATGTTATGTTAATTAATTTCTAGAAAAACGAAAATATTCCCAATAGAGATTAGAAAATTTTAATGTAATTACAATAGAGATTAGAAAATTATTTCATTACATCTAAGCTATAAATAACACATAAAACAATCAAAAATTTTTACAAATCAATCATTCTCTTCATTGAAAGAAACCTTCTCTTCTTTAAGATAGATTGATATCAAGCT